GCGTCGTGTAGCAAGCGTTGTTGCTTCACAGTAAGTTCCATCAGGGTATTCATGATTGCAAATGTTGTTTGTTTATAATCAGATAGTTGATGGTAATCACTTCAAATGAGATGAAAATTATCATGTTCATTCTGTATGGGGTTATTCGTTGGGTTATCGATGTTTTGACGTTTTCTATTGTGATGGATGACTTGACAGTATGGAGTATTTCCTTCTCCCATTCAAGTGATTTATGCGAAATAATACAAACTTGGGTGCACCGAAAGACGGTTGTTTTGTCCTAGTATGTGACTCATCAGTAGCAGTGCACATCCACCACTGCTGCTACTCACAGGACTCGAAACCAAAATCGTCGGTCTTGCGCGTGAATGCTTAATCTGTGAACCGCTGAATTGAGATCCTACGATGTTGACGTCTAACACTAATCAATCTAAGGATTTTGAGCAACCTAACCCATTTGTCTTTGGTAGTTATTGCCTACACATTCGACAATGCTGAACTCCAGTGGTCACATCAAGTGATATTATAAACACCTGAGAAGAAACTATATAATTTATAATCAATAGAAATATGCTTTATTGTCTAAAGATACGCTATTTATGTGTAGATTATGTTCATTTAATTATAACATAGCTCGATTGTTATACATTGATACTCATTGAAACAATGAATATAAACAGTTTTTTTTATTCGGGTTTATGATTATCGAAATCGATTGTTTGCAGCGTACTAGTGAACCATGACATTAAATTTGCTAATGACAACATCCGATATCACTAACAGTGGATACACAAAAAATAAACGGTAATGCGACATCATTCCAAAGAGTTGATAATACATCAACGGATTTCGTGATATGGATTGAGTGAATAGAATTGATATTTCACAATTCAACAGTTACCGACCGAAAACAATGGATGAGGTTACGCAAAACCTTGGATTAAATCAATTTAGACATTAACACCGTTTGATGTCGTCTCACTGTGAATTTCTGACTTTAATCAATCCAACATATTACGTAATTTCAACTATTATTATCGGCCGGTAACATTCTACACCCAACCTAGTTGGACCCCAACTGATCGGCTCTTCTCACTAGAACTGAGAGAAATTCCTTCACGAAACTAGTTACTAGTGAGCACATCGTTGGATGCCAGCTCACTGGTGTAGAGGTTAAGTGTGACTGCGCGAGAGTCATGGTTGAGCACTGATGACCAGTCACACACACACTAGGATGGAACAACCATTCAGTTACTTTCAGGTTTCTAATGGTGATCTAACAACAGTCATAGATTCATAATTTAAATGAAATAATTTCTGACAGTCACATTGTTATTTCTATTAAGCGAACAATGGAAACTCCGCTGTCATGATTAATCGAAAATCAAATATTCATTGATAAAATTAAAGAGATACGATTATATCATATTGTAATCTAAACACAACTCAGAAACATATTTATAACTCAGGTTAACTAACCGTTCGATATAATCAGATCCATTGATAATTTAAAACAGAACAAAAAAACTGAAACCAATTGAACTGTAGGGAAGTTTGTTTCTACTATGCTTGTCAACTAATCTGCTGGAATGCTATTACGAGTTCACCTTAGTTGGTAAACGAGAGTGAAGACAAATGATCCAGTGATATCATAGTCTATTTTAATTCGAGCGTCCAAAGGCCCCACTAAGTAGATGAAGAAATCTTGATATGGCGTAAAAAGTGTATTCTACAAGCAACCAGAAAATATGAAGTTGACATGCATATAAATTGAGCTTATTTATATACAATGATAGAAACGTCCTTGAGAGAGCCACGAAAATAGCACATTAAAATAATACATCAACCAATGACGGTCAAGGATTTTTCGGGTTGGAAATGTAATCTCAAGGTCAACTGATCAGACCATACTTGAAAACATGAAATCTAAAATTAGGTACTTTATCAAATGAGTTCTAGGGATCTAACGTCCTCAACAAATTCCAGTGCTGCCTTAATTTTCTTATCGATTCTTCTTGGAAGATAAGTGAAGTCAAGATTATTTTTTAATTTGAAAAGCTTATTGTTGTTGCTCTGTTTAATGAACCATGATTATAAATAGAAAATTTGTAAACATCATCGATGGATGGAAAGAAAGCTTACAACAATGACCAGTATTGCAGAGATCCCGACCGTAGCTGCTACCTTGATGTGGTGGTCGGGCTTACCTATCGTGATGACCCAACCGAGCTATACTGGCTGGAACATATGTTCCTCAAGGTTCGACCATGCCAGACAGGTCGATTGGAGAACGATGAGACTAAAAGCAGCTACCCAAGGTCTGAGGGTGAAGTCGTACTGCTGACTGTAGATGGGTGTGACAGCAGTAAGGTGTTTCCCTCGGACAACCAGCATCTGCAGCGATGCTGCCTTCTCACAAGGAAGGAAGGGTTAGAAAAGGTAGGCCCTAAAAATGTCACACCTCCCCTAACTCACGGATTTCCGTCTCCTAGGGTAAGGGTGCCCAGTAAGGGCCTTTAAGAACGGAGCTAATCCTCAAAAAACATTTCATAAAAAGGCCATGCGTGACCGGCCTCAAGCAGTTGTCCCTTGGACTCTGCGGTCACGCACCGACACTAATCTATCTTCCTTTTCAGGTTCCTCAAGAAACAACCTTCCACGGTGTGGGCAGCCGGGAAGTGACAACCGTTCTCATACCCATAACAGCACGCGAGACCAGATTGGTCAAAATCAAGTCCTTCCTACACCCCCTAGTACCTCTCTTATCTCCACGACTGACTCTTCTCACATTCATTCATCACAGTGCACAGCTAATGCAGACGATACGAGTTCGCGAAACGTCGTTCCTGGTCTCCTTAAACCTCGCTCTAGACTACATGTTGGAGCATTTAATGTACGGACATTGTGTCAAATAGGGCAACAGGCTTCCTTAGCTAGGACTTTAGAATCTCGTTCCATCGATGTATGCTGCGTCTCGGAAACGCGCATACAGGATCCGAGTCGCGTCATACACTTGGTCACACCATGTCAAAATAAAGAAGCAGCTCGATTTACTCTTCGTGTATCACGTTGCAACTGACTGTATTGCAGAGATATCATTTAAAAAATAAATTCACTTATATGCATTTACCAGAATTACATTTTGGTTATGTTGTATGCGCTGTCAGCTTGAGATGGTGAAGAAAATTCGTAGCTTAGATGGGGATGATTGTGTTGATTTAATGACGAATGTGTCGTCTACATAGCAAACGCACATTTTTGTCTTGATCACTGGTAAAATCAATGCTTCTAGTCTCTGCATTACAGCTTCCGCGATGAGTCCTAGATAGTTTGATAAAAGTGTGTTTTTAATTGAAGAATTGTTCAATTCAGAGTTTAACATATCACTGTTAAAAACTATTCATCAAATTTGTTCATCACATATATATAGACTGTCGAGGATGCGCACTGTGGATTAGTCACACAGTAGGACAGAATGACCATCCAGTACATTCAGGTTTCTAATGGTGGTTTAACAATGATTAGTTCATAATTTCAATGAACGCATCATTAAAGCTTACGATATTGAAGAACTGTTCAACTCAGTGTTTAACCCAACACTGATGAGTGCTATACCAGGAGGAAACAGCCATCCAGTGCTCCTATGTTTCCAATGGTGGTCGAACATGATTTCAGAATAAGTCACTTAACAATCTCTACAACGCTTTGGTGAAAATCGTGATATGGCCACTAGTAATATGCTTCATGAGAAAGTTTCATGAACTACTGTTATGTGATTTATTATGCCTAATCTATGGTTTAGTTATTCAATACAATCTCTCAGTATGTAACATATTATTGCACAAATCCAATTATATGTAATCTGATGTTTTATTCTTCACTGTTATTATTCTCTATTTATTGATTCATTTTTTTTATATATTTTCTCTATCCAAATGAAAATTTTTAAAAAAAAATATAAACAGTTCAAATTTTCATAAATCCTCTTGGACAAATCAAATGAATTCAACTGAAGCGCTACAATTTTTTCAATATTTCAGAATTCGTATTATGGCAAGGTAAGTTACAGTTCAAACAAATCAAATTTCAAACTCATTTACTTACTTACTTACTTACGTCTGTTACCCCCATTGACTAGTGTTCTCCGACCTACTCTATACTGGGCTTCCCTTTCCAGTTCTGTTCAATTTTTGTTCATTCTTCACATGTCTTTGTCTATTTCTCCGCGTAATGTGTGTTCATTGACCTTCCTATTTTCCTTCGACTTTGAGGGTTCTAAGTAAGGGCTTGTCTCGTGTCGCAGTTAGGTGCTTTTCATAGTGTGTATCCCCTATCCACTTCCACCGCTTCTTCCTGATATCTTGCTCCACTGGAATCTGGTTTGTTCTCTCCCATAGTAAGTTGTTGTTGATCGTGTCTGACTAACGAATCCGAAGTATGTTGTTTAGACAGCTAGCTGTTCATAAATACTTGTGTCTTCTGGATGATGGCTTTCGTTTGAAATCAAATTTCAACGTTCAATGATTATCATCGATTGTAGAAAAGAATATAAACAAATTTTCAAATATATAATAATCACTTTAAATGAAAAAGAATTCAAATTATTGTTGTTCAATATCTACATGCGTTTTTATTGTTTGAATAAAGTCATGTTAAATCCACAGCTGAACTGAATAAATAATCTATGAAATTATTGAATAAAATTATAAAATAAACAAAAATTTCAACTAAATCAAAGTTTTTTTCGTGAGGAAAAATAATTCATGTCTCCACTGTTTAAACAAATCATATTTCAATGTTCAATGATGATCATTGATTGTAGAGAAGAATTTAAACAAATTTTTAAATATTTAATAATAATAATAATCAGTTCATCTATTAGAATATAACCTGACAATCGAAACAACATCCATTCGTGATAATATATAATTTTAATCAGTTCAAGGTATTACGCTACTCTATTCATTGTCTTTAGTAGGTAACTAACTGCCACACATCCAACAATACTGAACTCAGTTTGGTCATGGCTTCACACTAAGAACATTTCTCTTAATGTCTGCTTAATGGTCTACAGATTAAACGTTTACGAACAAGAGGGAGAAGGTGCGGAGTTCGCCCCCCACTAGTGAGGATCATCGGTACGCACTGCTGAGGACCCTACCAGGTTGCTAAATGCTAGTCTAACAGTGATCGATTGGTGATTTCAAAGAAATTCAACAATCTCCACAACTCTATCACATGAAAATTCATTGCGATTAGAAATTATCATGTGATATGATGTTGAATGGATTTTTACTTTTACATAACTGATTAAATTTAGTTAGGTAATTATATTAGGAAGCAATGATAACTTCTAGGATTGATTTATGCATTATTGTTGTGAATAGTATTGTATTGTATAATTATTCAGTCATTAGATTTTATATTCCGACTAACTTATAGCTTATTTTCATTAAAGGTTGTGTAGTTTGTTCAGTTCATGGATTGATCTGGACTGAACCACTATTATAAACCTAAATGCATTAGACGGGCGTTTCTCTGAGTTCTAGTGAGAAGTCGTGACCGGTGGAGTTCATCAACCCAGTACTCACTGAAGACGAAGGTTGAGGTTGCACAAGGTTGTGAATTGATCGGATTTAGACATTAACGCAGCCAGATGTCTGCTCAGTCCTGGGTTAGTTCCTCAGAGTAGTGAGATTCATGGATGCTCAATGCCGTTGATGAGTCCCATACCAGGATGAAACAGCTGTTTAATGCTCCCATGTTCCTAATGGTGATCGAACGTTAACTGACTCATGTGAATGATCACTTATGAATTGTTAAATATTTTATCGACGAAACGTCCATCCTCTGCATTCAGGTTTTCGATGGTAGTCTAACTGAGATTAGTTTGTAATTTTAATTTCGAAAATACCCCTCTAATGTTCAAGAAAACTTGACTTTGTTTGTATACTTCGTAATTTTTTTGAAAAAAAGAATCTATAAATTTTAATCGAAGCAAAGTGATATTTATGATATTTGTCATTAGTACAAATATAAATCTGAATCATCTGGTTACATTTGTCTAGTCACGTTCTACGTATTTATTTATTTCAAAAAATTTACAATTGAATGCAGTCAACCAGTGATCAAGTCAATAGTAGTTCAATTTAACCAGCATAAGATCTAAATGGGTAGCTGTGAATAGGGCAATCATCATAAGAGCATGTAATGACACGAGTGACTATTGAAAGGGCACGTAATAATAAAAGCGATCACCGAAAGGGGGAATTAGCATTGAAGGTGGTTCGAAATATATTCTAGTTACCCTCTGTTCTTTGGGCTTACGATCATTTGAAAACGTATTTCTCTTAATACATACTTTTTCACTTGCCTCGTTCGCCTGTAAAATTTTATTTGAATAACTACCGAAAATAAGTAAAGGTTCTTGTGATACAATTCCAGTGACATAGTATACTGTCGTATATATAAGTACATAATGATTGTATTTTTCAGTAATTCGTTGCTAATTATTATTATTATCATTTATGTTTTACATTTATGTATGAAGGGGTTAAGTTGCGCATTTGAAATCATCAATCAATCATTGCTAGACCACCATTAGAAACCAGGAAGCACTGGACTACCGTTTCGTTCTGGTGTGGAGGACTAATCAGTGGCAGTGCACATCCACGACTCTTGCACCTTACAGGATTCGAAAACAGGACTTTCGGTCTTAAGCGTAAACGCCTAACCTCTGGACCACTGAGCCAGTACCTAACGGTGTTAATGTCTAAATTCAATCGATACACTGTCGTGCGCACTGCTAATGGAGTCTCACACCAGGATGAAATGGCCTATCCAGTGCTTCTGAGTTTCTAATGGTGGTCTAACATTGATCAACTGATGATTTCAAATTTATGTTTTAAGTAAAATCTCATAAATTTTTTTAACTCCTCCATCTAAATCTAATTCACATGTAAACTAGTTAAAAAGAAGTAGAATGAGGATAATTCAAAAAAAAGTTCAAAGTTCAATTTCGCATTCAAATAATTTATATGAAATATATATGTGTATGTAACTTGTTTCTTTGTTTTGTTAATTTAAAAATATTTTATTCTAAGCTAAATTTTACACATTAGCTACTGTTCTATTTGAGAGACTGGTCAAATGAATGAATTTGAAAATCAAATTGTTGATATTCTCACAAAAATGTAGTCATATATATTGAGTTAAAAATGTCGGATAGATAGTATAATCGCTTACTTTTTCAAATATATTTCACTTGTAGCTTGTTGATCAAAAAATCCAAAGGTTTCCTCTTAAGGGTCTCATAGGTTGACAAAAACTGGTTTAGTGCAATAACGGGGAAAAATGTACTGTATTTTAATAAAAGTTTACTTATCATGTATATTAGTTAGTGCTCTTTAGCAAGTTTGGTTTTTTCGAAATGAGGTTGATGACCCCATGCTCAACCCACCTTTTGTATTTGGGCTTGGAATCAGTAGCAACGCTTGAAAGGGCGCCATTCCATCAATCAACTAGAAAGTAGGAACTTTCATTACAAACATCGAAACACTTCAGATTCGTTGACCAGATTTCATGAGCAACAGAAAAAAAACACTGACGGTATACAGGGTAAATATTACACAAATTACCAGCCTGTATCACTTGGCAAGCTCTAAAGTGGAACCCTCAAGGCCAAAGGAAAAGAGGAAGATCAAAGAACATATTGTATTAGTAACTGGAGGCAAACATAAAAAGACTGAATAACACTTGGGAACATCTGCAAACGAGAGCCGAAGACAGAGTTGATTGGAAAATCTTGATATGTAGCTTATGGTACTACATGAATGGCAACAGGAATAAGCTTTAACGTGTACGCTACCTTTTAAATTAATTTATCAGAGAATCAAATATTCCTTCATATCTGCGTGTGTGTGTGTCATTTTAGCATTTTCCGTTTAGTCGATTCCAAATGACAAAAGTCAGATTTTCAAAGATTTTATACTTTTTTCTTCTTATTCAAGTCAAACTTACATTCTATATTACTACAATGCTTTTTTACACTGTAGGCAACAAGTAGTAAGGAAAAAAACTCGGAAAAAACAGTTGCTCACTTCTTTTAAATAAATAATACAAAAATAAAACACTTTCCGATATAAAAATTTTAATTATTATTAATAATGAACAAATTCAAATGACTTTTATAAAATTATAGATTGTGAGAAAATTTTTTTTTACAAAAAAAGAGAGAATTTTTCTTTTGATGTGTTGAAAAGATTTAAAAAATATATACAGACACAACTGATCATCTCATCTTTCAGTGAATAATTGTGAAAAGAACTGTTTCTTCCTCCATAATGTGATAAGGTTATATTATAATGTGTGTAAATAGTGTGTAGTATCTTCAATAATTTACAGTTGCGCCATAAACCTAATACAGTCAGTCAGATAGAACATAGAACTTCGTATGTACTTATGTACATCAGAGTCAGATCAGTCAGTCAGATGAAACGTAGAACTTCGTACGTAAGTACATCAGTTCATGTTGCCATACCACATCAGCACACAAAGATGCAATTGTCAATTCAAATCCAATAGTAGTAGAGGGAATAAAGGTATTAGAAGTAATCGGAGAGGTTAGGATTAGAAGATATTATTCAGGAAGTATGATTCAGTGAGAAAAGTTTCGAAAGTCAAAAACTAGAGGTGTTGAAGAATCCAGAAGATTAGGATTTGAGAGAACACTCGGAATAAATGCACCAGCGCCATTGCAAACGGTTTTGAGCCATGTCATTCAGGGTATCTAACCATCGATTATTATCATCTCGCGGACCCCAACCAGGTAGTCGACAATTACCGACATGGCTAAGTCCACTCGTCAATGAATTCATGGATTTGTGCCATGTTTTGGTTTGGCCACCCCTAACTTTCTTCCAACCTATTCCTAACACTACAAAACAAAGCTCGACGAGGCAGTCGGTTGTTAGGCGTGCGTAACAACACACTTGTCCCAACAACCACCTCAACTGATGAAGTGTCATTACTTCATCTATTGATCTGCCATTCTTACCTA